AAGCAAAACAAAAAACAAAACAGTAAGGGCTGGAAGGTGGCTCAATGGTAGAGCACTTGCCTTGCATGCATGAGGCCCTGGGTTTGATTCCTCAGCATCACATAAGCAAAAAGAAAAAAGCCAGAAGTGGCGCTGTGGCTCAAGTGGTAGAGTGCTAGTCTTGAGCTGAAGAGCTGACGGACAGTGCCCAGGCCCAGAGTTCAGGCTCCACAACCAGACCCAAAAAAAACAGAAAAAAACAAAAAACAACCAGTATCTCTTAAAAAGCTATTTACACAATTATGGTTTTCTCCTTAATAGTCATGGAGTCTCAAAGTAGCAATTAGTTAAGTGATGTATATGGGTGGAGAAAGATCCTAGTAATAGAATTTAATGGTACAGATGAACAATTTATTAGGATGGACAAACTATAAATTGTATTGTAGAATCTACACTTCAAATTCAGACTTCTGTAAGAAAGAAGTTCATATATATATATAAATATATATTTTTAAACTGAATTATCTACCAAAACTAGCTTCATAATGATATTACCCATTTTCCTACTTAATTTACACTATCAAACAAAATCAGTACAATTATCAGTTGGTGATGTAACATCTTACTTGAGGGACAGATTTCAAATCTATTGTGATTTTAAAGTCTGTAAGTAAAAATGTCTCAAATTCCAATACTTGAGACAAATTGTGCCTACAGTGTACCAAAGAAATTATTTGTCTTATGTGAGGAGGTATCAGAGCTTGAATTCAGGGCTTTAGTGCTCAAGGCTGCTGCTCTACCACTTGAGACACAGCTTCTCTTCTGGCTTTTTATTAGGGGTTAAACTATATTCCCAGTCTTTTGCTTGTTGAAGCCTGGTCTTGAACTCCTTATATAGCCCAGGCTGTTCTTGAACTCTCAATCCTCCTGATGCTAGGATTACGTATGCATCACTACAAGTTATATGATTTACAAACAAAAAAAAAAATCGCCGGGGGCTGGGAAGGTGGCTCAGTGGTAGAGCGCTTGCCTTGCATGCCTGAGGCCCTGGGTTTGATTCCTCAGCACCACATAAACAAAAAGAAAAAAAGCCGGAAGTGGCGCTGTGGCTCAAGCGGTAGAGTGCTAGCCTTGAGCTAAAGAGCTGAGGGACAGCACCCAGGCCCAGAGTTCAGGCCCCACAACCGGACCCAAAAACAAAAAACAAAAAACCACACACACACAAAAAAATCGCCGGGTGCCTGTGGCTAAAGCCTATAAACCTAGCTACTCAGGAGGCTAAGAGCTGAGGATCGCGGTTCAGAGCCAGCCTAGGCAGGAAAGTCCATGAAACTCTTATCTCCAATTAACCCCTCAAAAACCCTATAACGGACAAAAAAGAAAAAAAACACCACATCTCAACTAAGCAAGCTACTTATAGTTTTGAGAATTAATAGATGTCTTAAAATCAAGTTTTATTGCTACTCCTTATATGTGATGGCACTTTTTTTTTGGTCAGTGGTGGGGCTTGAACTCAGCCTAGATGCTGTCCCTGAGCTCTTCAGCTCAAGGTGAGTGCTCTACTACTTGAGCCACAGTGCCACTTCTGGTTTTCTGGTGGTTAATTGGAGATGAGTCTCAGGGACTTTCCGACCTGGGCTGGCTTTGAACCGAAATCCTCAGATCTCCACCTCCTGAGTAACAGAAGGTGACTTTTCTAGTGTCAAAAATCAATTCAGATCCAGATGCCAGTGACTCACACCTATAATCTGAGCTACTCAGGCAGCTGAGATCTGAGAATGATGACTGAAAGACAATCTAGACAGAAAAATCTGAGAGATTCTTATCTTCAATTAACCAGCAAGGAGCAGGCAATGGTACAGTGCCAGTCCTGAGCTGAAGATCAGAGTTTAAGCCCCTGTGTTGGCACACACATTTAAAAAAAAATTAATTCTAGGGGTAAAAAATTTGAAAAGAACTGTACTTATTACGTTACTTACGTAACTGTAACCCCTCTGTAAATCACCTTGACAATAAAAAAAAGTAAAAAAAAAAGTAAGAAGACTAAAAGAAGTATGAAAGCAGAAAAATTAATTCTGCTATTACTCATTTCTATATTATTTCTGATGTAGGAGGCTAGCCTGATCTAAGATACCTAGCAAGACTCTTATCTTGGGCTGGGAAGGTGGCTCAATGGTAGAGCGCTTGCCTTGCATGCATG